ACATACTTTGAAATGTACAAGAAAGTAAGTGAATAAGTGAAATACATTACACTTACCTTCACAAATGGTTTTGTCAGCTTCTAGAGAATTGACTTTGAAAGTTTGCAAGAGGACATGCATTATCAAAAACCATTTTGGGCTGGGGATGTAGCTCAGTGGTAATGTGTTTGCTTACAGTTACAGAGGGGGTTAATTTGATCAATGTACATTATATGCGTGTATAGAAGTATCACAATGAAACCCCTTTTTAGAATTAGTTACATGCTAATAATAAGACAAACAAAAAAGTGCTTGCTCAGCATAAGTAAGGCCCTGGGTTCAAACCCTAGCACTGAAAAAAAGAAAACCATCCTTACCCCTGATAATCAGTAAAACAATAAAGCTATAATTAACATTAGAGTGTTTTCTTCATCTCACAAGACCAAGAAATAAATCAGATATAAACCACATTATAGAGATTATAAAGTATGTGATGCTTTCCAGAGCAGGTCTAATTTAGTTCTCTGAAAATAGTAGCCTATATATTAATAAAGATGCTGTAAGTCTTTCCCTCCTCTTCAGTGGAGATAGTGGTCCAGTCACTAAGGATATTTGAAATTTCTCCACAAATACATTTCAGAATGTTTTTCATGGGTAAAGAGCAGAACAAAACAGTTAGGATGCGAACAGTCATGCTCAGAAAACATTCCATGAATTTATAAAGTGAAGTTTTCCTCAAATGTCTGCCATGTTTATCAAATTCAAATATGGTGTCAGTAAGTAGATGCCCCTCCTTTGCAGATCAGAGAAGTAAATGCTTAATTAATTATTAAAGGACCAACCCCACTACAGCAAAATCCCTACCAAACTCAAGAGAAAAGCTGTCACTATTTACTATAACTACATGACAGAAGTGGAAATATTTCAAGGGATTTTTTAAAAAACTGTAGTAGAATGACTTTCTAAATTTCAACATTATATAGACAGTTTATTTTTAAAGAGTAAAATCACTTTTAAAGAAAGTCTCTTCACAGATATAATCTTAAAGAGGGGTAAAAAACAATCACACCCTGTTAAGTCTCCCCATTTTCTCCTCACATGAGGGTCTCAAAGTCATATGACTCCAAGACATGCAGGTACAAGCAAATGGGACAAGTAAGCAGGGACTGCAAAATGCAGAAGGAGCTTACACACCAAGTTTTATCCCCAATGCTGCTACTATAGTTCCTCTCCCCACCTACGCTGCTAGGAGAAATGCAGACCTGGTGCAACAAGATATTCTAATTTTGCCTAACAGAAGCCAGAAATCTAAACCATGCAAAATATTCCATTTTTAAATGCTGGCAATTAAAAAACAAAAAGAATGCAAGCCAAATAGAAAGTACCTACAAACTGAGTTTGCCCTTTCAATACACAACCTGTGCTAGCTACAGGGCAAGAATACTCTAGGAACAGAAGCATCAGTAAGAATACCAGGGCAGGGGACTTGGCTCAAGTGGTAGAGCTCCTGCCTTGCAAGCAAGACCCTGCGTTCAAGCCCCCCCCCCTCCAAAAAAGAATCTCAATATGTGACTCCTAAACCCTAAAAACCCCCACCCCTGTCACCCCAGGACTTTTGTTTAAACTTCACATTGGAGATAGACTCACCATATACTCAAGAACAAAAAGTGGTAATCTTTCTCCCCAAGGATGAATTTGGGTGTTAATGTTTTAAAATATTACTATTAATACACTATTTAAAGTTACATTTAAAGCAAAAAATTTTCAACAATTGAGAATCTAACTTCGATAAATTAGTAAACACATTTTCTGCATACTACAATTCACTTTTTAAAAATCTAATGTTTTACAAACTAAATGCCTAAGTTGGGTAAAATGAAGTACCAATCAGCTGGATCCTTAGGAAGCTACTACTTGAGCATTTCTAGGTGAAAAACTGGGACCTGGCAGTCCTGACAGGTCACTTCCTTTTATAAAATGAAAAAGGGGAAATTAATAAAGGGGGAAGAACTGACAACAATAATAACTGGCAAGATATTCTTATTATGTAATGATTAAACGTGCTAAAGAACCCTAAGACTCGACACAATTTTCTACTACTTTAGCTCTACTAAGAAGACTAGATGGCTAAAATGGATAATCTAGCAAGACCTTCTATTTAGAAACACAATCTGCTAGATTAAAAAAGAAATTCTGTGTGTCAGCACTCAGACTTAACCTTAGGATTTAAATTTTAAAAAGACCTTCCCAAAACTTCCAATTTAAGAAACAAACTAAGCTTCATAGTCACACTCTACACTCTATAGGCTATATATACTTAACATATATTTTGTTGATGGCATACTCAAAAACAAAAACAAAAAAACTTGTAAGAACAGTGGAGTGGGTTTTCTCGTTTATGTTTTTGGTGGTACTGGGGTTTAAACTCAGGGCTTCATCCTTGCAAGGCAGGTGCTCTACCATTGGGACCACACCCTTAGCCTAACACAATTTAAAAAAAAAAAGATTGCCTGACTTATCAGAGCTAGGTTTCACCACCTGACAGCTGCATGACTTTAAGCATGTTATTTAACTAGTCTGACTCCATTCTTTCATCTATACAGCACAATGAACACTAGCTACTTTAATTCTCATTGTGAGAATGATACATCTTAGATGTACTGCAATTCATCCTCTTACCTGAAACCTGAGTCGGCCCCAGGACATCACCAGTTTAGAACACTTCTGGCAGAGCAGCTACAAAGAGAATGCTTCCTGAAGTGGCTTTTTCATCCTCACACTTCAATTTTTCTTTTACTAAGCTAAAATCAGTTTCCTAGTAACTCAATCCCATCATTCCCACTCTAGTTTAAGCCATAGGGATAGGTAATGCAGTTCTCACTAGACTAACTCCAGGAGGGTGGAGCTGTCTATTCCTAGTCAGTATTGAAATAAGCCCCAGCACCTAGAAGGTATCCAATAAAAATGTGCACAGTGAATGATGCACTCAGTGCAGTATTTACGAATTGGCCAATGAAATGTCCTCTAACAAATAGCACACGTGTACATTTTTTGGAGGTGGTCACTTAATGCTTCAGGTTTAGAATTGAAATATAGTTAAATTCATGTTGTGATTTTTAAAAAGTTTCTTTGGGTATAGTAAAATTTTGAAAAGCAAATTTACTATATTTTAAATAAATGGTGATGCTGTTCAATGATATAGACGATAGCATCTGCAAAGCAACAAACTTCTCAATGACTCCATTACCCTTACTCATACTTTCTTTCAACTTTCAACTAAATTTCAAGTTTATGTTTTTAAAAAAACCCCTCAAAATTATATGTAACCTTACTGCCATTGGCTATTCGGTAAATAACCCCCAAATGATAATAGCCTAGGCAGGTATGGTGGCACATGCCTGTGATCACAGGTACTCAGAAGGATCCAAACTCCAGACAAACCTGGGCAAAAAATTAGCAACACCACCATCTCAACAAGCAAGCCCACACTGGTATGGTGGTGTGCTTTATAAACCCAGCTACCCTGGAGGAATAGATAGGAAGATGGACATCTGAGGTCCGCCCTGAAGCAAAAACATGAGACCTACCCAAAAAAATAACTAAAGCAAAAAAAGCAAAAAGGATTGGGGACATGGATCAGGTGGTAGGGCACAAGCACAAAGCTGAATTCAAATGCAAGAAGTACCAAACAAACAAACCCTAGTCAGTTTATTACCTGAAAGCCACCCAGAAAACATCAGAATTGAAGTTATGATATACTAAAATGTGTGACAACTTTTTCTCATGACTTTTTAGCAACACACTGCTATATATAAAGATCTCATTGTGTAAATACTGGAACTCATAATTTAGTGACTTTATAATCTAGTCACTTATATTCCAGGGCTTAAAAGAAGGTTTCATAAAGTATGTTCTACTTCACAGAACCAGAAATTAAACAGAGTGAACAACCAGCTCAGCCCCCCACCACCACTCCCTGCAAATCTATGGGGATGATTCCAGCAGAAAATAAAACTTTACTGCCACCCAACAGTTTTAAACTGTCACTCTACTAGCCTAAACACGACATCCATACGTCAAAACTCCATTCCAGATTCACAAGATTTCTGAGTGATGTGGCTTGACACCGTGGTAGGAAACGAGTGGTAACAGGGATATTCAACTTCTACTAACTGAAAGGCATTAGGTAAGGCTGATACAAGACTGACAAAATTTTTGATAAAGGACGAACTCCAAAAGGCTCAAACATTTTCACAAACATAAAATTATTGGAGGACCGAGAGGAAAATGAACAATTTTGATGTTTTGAACAGAACAGCCAGGTATGCCGCTCTGCGCCCCCCGCCCCCCTACCAACGAGCCTTCCTGGACCAACGTGGATGAGGCCTGCAGACCTGTCGCGCGTCCTTCCACCCTTCCATCCACCCAGCCTGTGACAACAAGCAAGCCGCGGGCGCAATAGGGTTCTGCAGAAATGAGCATCGCCGAGTGTGGGGCGAGGAACACGGCCATCGAGTGGTCACTCACCGAGGGGCAGAGCACGGGCCTGGGCTGCACACCCTCCCCGCAGAAGGGGGAGGCAACACTGGAGTGCTGAGTGCTTGAGGACCCCGCCTCTGCACAGCGACCCCGTCTGTCCTGAAAGCCGCGGGTGCCTCGAGGCAAAGCGACCAAGCGGACAGTGGGGGGTCGGGCGCATCTCTCCACGCCGCGCTGGGTCCGGGGACAACTGCGCCGCTGCTGCATGGCCCCCGACGGCTGCCACGCACAGGAAGTTTCTCCACAGTCCCAACAGCGACGACCTGGGCTGGGGGCTCCCTGTGGCCCCCCAGATGGCTTCCGAGGCGCCCGTGCTGCCCAGCACCAGGCGCGGAGTGCCCCGATCCCTCCAGAGGCGTCCTGCTCCCCGCAGCGCCGTCCCCTTGCCTTACCTGCGGCTGGAGCAGGCGGGAGGCACGGCTCCCCGCACGCGGCACGCCCGGGCCCTCCCATCTCCGATCTCCCATCTCCCGCAGGCTCACCTGATCTTGTAGCTCGGCAGGGTGTGCTTGCGTTTGATGATCTTCTTGAGCTGGTTGACGATGATGGACGTGAGCTGGGGCATCGGGCGTCCTTCGAACTGGGAGCGCACCTCGAAGTCGATCAGCGGGTCCTCCACGAAGGAAAAGAACCAGTGGGTGAAGGGCACGCGGGTGAAGACGAAGCGCAGCCTGCCCACCACGCGGGACAGCTTGACGAACAGGTAGGCGGACTTGCCGAAGACCAGGTCCACGTCGATGGCCAGGTGGAAGCCCCCATTGTATTCCACCTCCGCCTCGAAGGCCAGCTCCTCGGGGCAGGTGGCGGGCAGCGCCTCCCCCTCGGGGCCATCGGGCTCTCCGGTGGCCGAGGCCACCACGGGCCGCACGAGCCGGATGGTCTTGATGAAGGGCACCGTCTCGCCCAGAAACACGTCCCGCAGGCTCAGCCCCTCCAGAAGGCGCCCGGCCGTCTTGGTCTGCAGCAGCTCCTCGAACTCCACCTTGATCTTCTTGGTGACCCAACGGCGGGTCAGCGCGGTGTCCCTCAGCTCCCGGAACAGGAACAGGATGGTGGCGTTGAGGAAGTAGCAGGTCTCCCGCGTTGGCGGGGCGGGGGTCTCGGGGTCGGGGTCGGGGTCGCACCGCCCTCGGGGGGCCCTCCCGAGGGCTCCTCAGCCCCGCCGCCACCGCCGCCGCCATAGAGGTACTCCCTCAGGGGCAGGCCCGGCACCGGCTTGATGTAGCGGAAGCCGTCGCCCGCGCGGGCCGCCTCGTCCGCCGGCGGCTCGGGCTGTCTGCGGTACAGCAGCAGGAACTGGGTGAGCAGCGTGAGGAAGGAGCCCAGCACGGCCGACGCCAGGATCATGAGCAGCAGCCCCATCCCGCCGCCGCCGCCGCCGCCGCCGCCCGGGTCCCTGCTCCCGCGCCCACAGCGCCGCTTGTTTCACGCCGCTGCCCCCGCTGCCTCCATCTTGAGGACATCGGGCGGTGGGGTCGGAACAAGCAGCTCCTTGGGCCTGTCCGGCGGCTCCAGCAGGTACGGCGCCTGAGCCTGCAAAGGCCCGCGCCTCCTCAGACGCTCCCCGGGGCGGCTGGAGTGGCGGCGGCGGCGGCGGCGGCAGCGGGGGTGGGAGGAGGCGGGAACAGCGCTGGCCCCACGCCTCCGCTCATTGGTCGAGCGGAGCGTGACGTCCGGGGCGTGCTCGCTCCCGGCAGCGTCGCCTGGCAGCCGGCAGCCGGGCGCGCGGACGCGGGTCCTTCCTGCGCTCTCCAGCGTCCTTCCAGCCCCGCCCCCCCATACTCCAGCATTTCTTTCCCGGCCGCGCACGCCGTGGTCCACGTGGCTGTCACTTCGGGAACCGCGGTCGGGATAACTGAGGGCACAGGTTGGAGGCTAGGAGGTCCGGCAAGATGGCTTGCCGCAGTCATCCGTTATCTTCTCAAGTGCCCATCCTCCTGCGCTGGCAGTGGTCCCTGCCTGTTACTTCTGCAGCAGTGTCCTTCTTCCCGCAGCGTGGTGCTTCCAAGTTGTCCACCCTCCCCTCCAAAAAAAAATTTTTTTTTTTTTGCTTGGTTGGCGGCAGCGGCTTTCCCTGCATGGCAGTGCCGCAGAGGACCTGAGCAGGCTGGTAGGACCCTGCCCAAGACGACCAGAGAGGACTGACTACCTCAGAGACCGCCATCGCTAGCTCTCAATCTGACCAGCAGACGCTCTGCGTCCACAAAGGGTGGGCCTGAGAAGGAGGGGCAGAGGGGAAAGGCCGTAAAATGGGGACTAACTTTCCCACCTAAGTAGACATTCAAATTTTAAATGAAAAGGAAGTTCTAATGAGAGCCGGGAGGAAGGAGTGTGATGGGAGAAGGATTTGCCAGATTAGAAGATGAATTAGAGACACCAAGCTCTTGTAAACCCCATGTGTACATAGTGAAGCCTGGTTTAGCTAACATGAAACCCGAAGCTCTGTCACTACTCTACCGCTAGTGTTGTAAGGGGATGGGGGTGGAGGGGCTGATCGGTTGGTTCCCTGGTGCTTCAGAAGGGAGAGTTGGGGGAAGGGTAAAGGAAAAATTTAAGGAGATTTCGCACAAGGTAGCACCTTGACCACAAAGCCATAGAGTTAATGAAAGCAAGTTGCCTAGCAACAATGTTCCTCCGTATGCCCTCTGACTACTTAGTTGTTGCATCATAAATGCTTATGTCCCTTCAATCACACCGACACCACAAAACTTCTAGTTCTACAGAGGTCATTCCTTTCTGTAAAAGTCAGGCAGATTCTGGCCAGTCTTAAGGTACCAGGGCAGAGCTCCTCTTTAGTCCTTAAAAATCTTCAAGCCAGGAATTTTCGTGACTCTGGTTGATTCTAGAACAAAATCAGAGTTCTGACCCGGCTGGGGCAGGACAGAACTTTGAAAACATTCTTATCTCACCTTATCTATTCACGCCCAGGTCTGAGACCAGAACGGCTCTAATACTAAGAAGATGTAAGATGGGTTTCTGCTGAATGACCATGCTCAAATCCTGGCTGCGAATTCTGGAAGCTTTGGGCAACTTCTGTTCTCATGGTCACCTTCTACTTTGTGTTCTACACTGTTTCAATCCAAATGGAAAATCTATATACCCTTTCTCAATTTCCACCAGAAATTGGTAGGGGAGCTCTTCACATTCGTGAGATATGAAAACCTGAAATTGTGTGTTGACCCATCCTGGATCTTAAAATATCCTACACCTCCCTCCCCCAGGAGGAAAGTTGGTGGTTTCCATGGGAATGAGTCTCACACTCCATCTCACAACTTTTCCTTACTCCTCAGAATACTTCCAACCCCAAATCTCAATCCATTATTCAGCCATTCAGCAAAACTTGTCCCTGAGGGTCACACTTTAAATCCATGAAGGAGCTCAGCAAACCTTTTGGGAAGATAAAAGAAAATCCTTTCCCCTGCGTTAAAAATGGTTAACATTCATTAAACACTAATAACAATACAGAGCATATGTTCTAGGCTTGGTGTTAAATACTTTACTATTTTAAAATATTTAAATATTTTAAAATCAAAATGTCACGAGATTTTATAAAGTCAAATGTATTTGATATTGCAATTAGGTGGTAATGCTCACAATAATTTTGGTTTGTGCTGAAGATCCATTAATGTGCTTTAGATGACATCATTGAAATGAAACTGCTCCACCAGCCTTCCTGGGAAGCATCTGTTTCAAAGGTAAAGGAGTGTTGAATACTGGATGATGGGTGAGAGTCAGGGGCCTGTAATGTTGGTGACCACCAAATAAGAGAAAGCCAACACATGGGAATGTGGGGAATTTGGGAGTACATGAAAACCAATTTAATAAAAATTAGATAAAATAATACAAATATGATAAAATAGGGAAGAATGCATAGAGAATTTCAGAATGTTTGCTAACAAATGATACATCACTTTTGTGAATGGTTGAAGATACAGATTCAACAACTATTTTTTGAGCATCCAACATGTGCTAGGCTCAGGGATATTGGAGGAATTGGACAGAGTCCCTGCCCTCAGTGGTGGGAGACCCAGGCAGATGTAGACATATACCTCGTAACTCTGATGGGAAGAGATGGTTGCTTTAGCAGAGCCACACTCCAGAGTCTGTGGGAGCAGAGCCTTCAGTTCAGGGCAAGGTCAGTAGACTGCAAGGAACAGAGACTGCCTCAGGTTAACTTAACTGAAATTAGATTCTTGTTAATGATACTGGAATAGCTCCGGGATCTCAGCTGCAAGATGTTCAGTTGGGGCATTCTCAAAAGCCCCAATGAAAGGGCTGTTTCATTTCCACTGCCCCTAATCCCACCCAGTATCTCATCCCTCCAGTGTTCTGCCATGGGTTCCTGCTCCCCCAATGGCCTCTGCATACAGGCAACAGGGAAGGTGCCAGCTCTGAACCCAAATCTAGAGGGTTCTATGTCTCTGGTGCCCATTGTGGCCTGCTAGTTCAATATCAAGCCCTGTGAAAGAATCCCCAGTTGGCCAAACTCATCCAGTCATATCCAAGGGCTTGCTGCTTCTGGGTGAGGCAACTTCTTCCAGGAGGAGTGTTGAGAAAATGTAATGGGGGCCTCTAGTTTGAGAGAAGATGAAAGTTGAGTTCTGACTGGGGAAGGTGGGGGACTTTGGGGAGCAAATGGACTTTACTTTGATGATTAGATTGGTGTTCTAGTCAGATGGAGGCAAAAGCTCAGAAGTTAGAAATCTAGCAGAGTTTAAGGAAATTAAGACAGGATGACTAGAAGCAGGCAGTATGAACAGGACTGAAGAGAGGAAAGAAAGAAGATGAAAGTAAGACAGCAAAGCAGATGTGAATTGAGTTATGGAGGGGCTGAATGTCAGGGTGAGTTGGATTCTGTTTTGCAGGCTTTGTAAAATTCCCAAAAGCTTTAAAGCAAGAGCATAGCATTAGTACTTTTCTCTCCATCTTATCCACCTGCAAAATCTCAACCCTGAAGCAATCCAACTGTAAATCCAACTTCTCCTCCCCCCATCTGTAAAGTGATGGCCTTCATTCTCATTAGGGTCCTCACAATACCCCCCGACACCCCCAATATACTTTTCTCCATTGTCCTAGCCATCATCTTCCCCCATTTCTCACAAAAGTGCAATCAAACCTTGGTGAGTCTCAGGCCTCTTACCCTGGCCTGTCCTCGCCATGCTCAAGCTCACCTGTGAAGACACTGTTCTCTTCATGCTTCTCTTCTGTGGCAACAGTAACAACAGCAAAAAACACAAGAGACTGAAAACAAATAAAACAGAGCAAAAACCTGTTTGTCCTCTAGGACACACTGCGCTACAGGATCTATCTCTTCTTCTTCAACATATAAACTGCTCTCTCTGTTCTTACAAACTACAAAATAAAAACAAAACTCCAGAGAATATCTGACCATTACCTCTTCAACTACCACCTTTTTTTCTCCTGCCTACAGAGGACAAGCCAATTCTCTCTGAAGCCATCCTTGCCTTCCATTCACTCCTTCATGCACTGTAATCCCACTTCTGCCTAAACAGCCCTTCCCCTACCCCCAAGGATCCCTTTCTTACCAAAGGCCCAGCCTCTGTGGCTCTGGCTTCTGTCAGAGTTCTGAGGGTCATCTAACAATATGGATCATTCCTTCCTGCCTTGACACCCTTCCCTTGACAATACCATAAAGTACACCAAGTAAAGTCAAACTTTAAACACACTTCCTTGTTTGGATTGTTAACAAGAGAAACTGTCCCTTTAAAGTTATTTGCCACTTCAGTATATAGAGATAGTGACAGGAAGAGAAAAAACCTTGCTTGAAGAAACACTTGGGTTTATGGTGACCTTCAGTGCTAAAATTAGAAGAGTCCTGGGCAAACTGGGACAAGATAGTCACCCTACGTGGGTGGTACCTTTAGAGATGAAGCTAAACAGCCAGCTGATTCCTGTCCTGGAGAATCACGTAGTGCTATGGAATAGTGAAGGAATAGTATCAGCTGTTCTGTCTTTCTCAGTTGAAGTAAAGAACTTTCTAATAATACATTCAGGATAGTTTAACAATGCCTCTAAATTCTGCCTACTCCATGCCAACCTCAAAATTTACCTTTAAACTGTCTACCAATTTTGACACCCTATTGCAGTTCAGAAACTGAACTAAATCCTGGAGGTGTGAGGCTTCTTAGAAGGTCAAAAATTTAAGACAGAGTCTCTGTATGTAGCCCAGGCTGGCCTCAAATTCACAATCCTCTTGCCTCCACCTCCTGAGTGTTAAGATTACAGGCCTGTATCACCATGCCCTGCATCTAGATCCCTTTTATTTATTTATTTTGTTTTTTTGGTGGTATTGGCCTTCAAACACTGGGCCTCATGCTTGTGCTCTAACACTTTAGCCAGTCTCCAGCTCCCCAGATCCCCTTTAAATATATGAGGCCTTCACTGGCTTTTGTATTCCTCTGAATTGTTCTCCAAGCTGTTCCACTTTTTTCTGTCCCCTGACACTACTCCAGTTTGGGCCACTGGCCTCTCATGCCTAAATCCCTGGTACTGTCTCCTGGTCTAGCTACCTCCACCTTTCCTCTCTGTATTTTCTATGTGTCTCTGCTGCCAAACTAAATTGAGCTGCTCACTACTTGAAATCTTTCAGTACTCCCCATAGGCTGATGGGCAAAGTGCTACTTCCCAAGACTGATCCCTCAGGCCTGGCCTCTTGTCTACCTCTTCCAGCCAACACCTAACATTTCCCTGCTCACAGCGGTGCTCTAACCTTCCTGGGCTATTTGAGATTCCTACTTGTGTCTTTTTTCTCTTTCTCCAGCCTTTGCACATGCTTCTTCCCCCTGAAATGCTTCTACTCCCTCTGGCAGAAAACCTTGCCCTTAAAGTCCAGACTTCACTATTTCTGTCCAGGACACACCCCAGCCCTAGTCTAGGCATGGCCCCTGCGCTATACTCAAGCACTATTTTATACTTTCCCTATTCTGATGCTTATAGCAGAGACTGCTTGTTGCTTCTCCCATATTCACTCATTCCTTCTTTCATATTAAAGAATTTGGGAACAGCAAATTGTTCAGCTTTTTAAAAATGACATTTCCCAATCAGCCTTGCAATTAAGAATAGCCAATGAGCAGTTAAGTGTCAGCAGTTGGATGGGAGGTATTTAAAGGGCTCAGACTTACCAGGCTTCGTGGGTTTGATCCTTCTCTCTCCCTCCTCTCTGCCTGCATAGAAGAGTGATGGCTGGATTATGTGATAGCTTAACTGGACTCTGTACTTCTGTCCATGCCACCCTGATATCTGTTCCAACACAGCAATCACAGTGACTGTGCTAAAGTACTGGGCTGATCATGTCGCTCATTAGTTTCAAACCCACCAATGGGTTCTGTGATAGAAAAATAACAATGGCTACCCAAAGAAGTCTACATCCTGATCTCAGAATCCATGAAAATGTTAAGTTACATGGCAAAAGGGAATTAATGCTACAGATGGATTTAAGCTTGCTAGTCAGCTGGTCTTCAGGTAAGATTAATACGAATTGTCCAGCTGGGTCCAATATAATCACAAATGTTTTTAAAAATGGAAGAGGGGAGCTGGCAGGAAAACCAGAGTGATATAGTGTGAGAATAACTCAACCAGCCATTGCTGCCTTTGAAGGTAGAGGAGTCTAGGAGTAAGGAGTGGGGGGAGCCTCTGAGAACTGGAAAAGGCAAAAAAATGGCTTCTCCCCTAGAACCTCCAGAAGAAATGCAGCTCTTTTGACATCTTGATTTCAGCCCAGTAAGACCTGCTAGAAGTCAGATTTTTTTAATTGAAAACTTGCATTTTTAAGCTACTAAACTTGTGATTATTTGTTACAGCAGCCAAAAGAAACTAGTACTGCTACCTGTCTCATGAAAGGTAAAAGCCAGTCCTCCTAGTAAAATCCAAGGTACCAAACGATCTGGTCCCTGTTGCCTCTCTAGCCTCATCTCTTTTGCTCTTACTCATTCTCTTGCTTCAGCTCCATCTTTGCAGGGTGAAGGAATGATTTCCAGAGGAAAGTTGAATTGCCTATGGCCCCCAGCAGAGAACCCAGGACTCCTGCCTGACTACCAGTAGAATACTATTTCTACATGCCTGGTTTCACTTAACCACCTTCCCAAGAAAGGCTGTGTGTGGTTAGATCTCCCCTGGCCACCCATTGAAGTGTTTGAATTGCAACTAGGAAATTCTTATACTGACTTTATTATACCTTGTCTTAAGAGTAGCTCACAACCTGCTGTGGGAAATCCTATCACAGAAACACTTTCCCTTGAAAAAGTGTTTCAGGGTGTCAGATTGAACTGATCAAAACAGGCAAATTACTTATGAGGAAATAAGTAATTCCTTCAGCCATTGAGATTTACTGTGTGACTTCCTGTTTAGACCCTGGATGTGGAGTGAGCTAGTGGAAACTCAGATAAGTTCTTCTAGGTATTGTGTGCAACAGCAATCCGAATGCTATTGAGTTTTCAAGCACTTACATTTCCAAGTGAGGTCTGATTGGTCAGTTTGCTGCTACGCAGTGGAGGGCCCCCACTGACCTTTATGCCAGGTGTCTTCAGAGCTGATCAGCCTCCATTGTGTTCAACAGATATGTGTTTCACACTGTTCTGGATCAATCCCTGGTCTATTCATCTGTGGCCAGGAAAGCAGAGTGGTTTTCCTTACAAAGTTTGAGGGTACTGGCCTGGAAGATGGAGCAGACTGGAAGAGTCATGTGGATTTTTTTGTTTGTTTGTTTTTTTCTAGGTTGTTCCCCTGGAGTCCTAAACTCAGGCCTACCTCCTGGCCTTCAGGGTAAGCACATGAACTAAAATCTGCTGAGTGTGTAAAGTGGGAGAATATGAACCTGGAATCACTCAGAGGATGATGTCTGTTTGCTCTGGAAGCTAAGTGGGGTCATGCAAAGATGAGAGGTGAGTGGAGAGGGGCCTCAATATGGTGAGTCCCTGGTTGGAGTGCTGCAGACTGTGTTTTTTGTTGTTCTTTCTTGGCTTTTCTGAACCACACTGCTGCCCTTCCTAGTTACATAAACCACTAATACACTCCTTCTTGCTCTGTAGCTGGTTTATATTGTGTTTCTGCCATTTGCTCCCAAAGGATCTGATGAATATAGGAGCTCAGGTAGAAAAATATTGACTGGAGCCACCTGCCACAGACTAGAGAGCACTGAGAGCCCATTTCTGCAGAAATTAATGCCACAATTCCCTTGTGGGGGGTCTTTGGAAGCCTGACCTGGGATAACCTGGCAATGTAAGTATACAGTAGGCTCCTGAATGTTTCACATGAAATCGGAGCATATATCCCATTTTTGCCCCTCCTAAAACACTTTGATGGATTTCCACTGTTGTTAGCATGAAGGCCACAATCCTCAAATAGGCTTATAAGGTCTGACCCCCACTATCTGGGTCAGGAGCCTGCAAAGTTTTCTGAGAGGTCAGAGAGGGAATACTTTAGGCTTTGTGGGCCATAAGGTTTCCATTACAACTATTCAACCCTATTCTTGTAGCTGAAAACAGCAGTCATATGTAGGAAGCAAATAAATGTATGTGGCTAAGTTCCAATAAAACTTTATTTATCAAAACAGGCAGTGTGCTGATGTGACTGTGGAATGGTCCAGGGCTCACATCCAGCCTCACTGGGCCTCCTCTCAGAATCTTCCTGCTCCAACACAGGCCCCCTCCCCTCCCATGGCCTCTACCTGAGATATTTTCTCAATATGGAATGTTCTCCAGACTCTTTGCATGGTCAACTTCCCACCCAGATCACTGCTGTAATGTCACATCTCTAGGGAATTCTTCCCTGACACCTGCTCTCTGGGAGGAAGGAGTTGAGAAGTTAAAGAAGTTGCCTTTCTTGTTACTGAGGGCTTTTTCCATTTCCGCCCTCTGCCCTCTGAAGCAGTGTCTATCTCGGATGTTGGCAGCAGTGTAACAGGGACTATGAAACTGCTTCTGCTTTAAAAAAAAAAAATGAACTTCTTACTTGGGCCTATGAATTAACTAAAAGCAGGAGAAATGTTTGGAATGTCTGCCTCCATTTTGTGTGTGTCTTTGCTCTGAACCTTCACCTTGCAGCTGCTTTGGAATCTAAGATGGACAGGGCTGATCAGAGGAAACTGCCCCCAAGGAAAGGAACAGCAGAGCCTCTTTAGGACAGATCATTGCCAGGCAACAATGATTTGTTTTCCTGACCAGAGTTCTCCCCTCCAGTTGTTACAGGAGATTTGTATAGGACCAAAAGTTACCACTCACCCTTGCTGGCTAGGTGTTTAACCAGAGGGAAGGTTGGTGGTCAGAGTTCTTGTCTTACAAAGCTGAAAAATGAACTTTGTAGACAATGGAGGTTGAGCACAGAGGTAGGAAAGTTTGTTAAGGGAAAGGATGAAAGCTCCTGTGGGAAGGGAGGGGTCCTGAGTGGGTTGCCACAGAAGTGATGTGGTCTGAGGTTTTTATCCAATGTTGCTCAATCTCTATGCTAGTTAGGTGTTCAGAAAGCAGCATTCTGGTTGGCTATGCCTACAACATTCTGATTGGTTGTGCCCTAATCTTCATACTATCCTTATTCCAATCCATTCTGCTTTTTTCTTCTTTCCACCCTTTAAAGTCACAGGTAGGTAATAATTAGGTTTCCAGGAGCCCTTCTGTCTCAATTTCTCCAAATTCCCATTCCCCCCCCCCATAATGGTCAACCAGCCCATACTTTGGCCAGGTTTGTTTGATAATTATGCATACTTTTGCCCCCCTGCTCAAATTCCTATTTAAATCTAGAGCTCATGCCAGGTACCAGTGGCTTACGCCTGTAATCCTAGCTACTCAGGAGGCAGTTATCAGGAGGATCGCGGTTCAAAGCCAGCTTGGGCAAATAGTTTGCAAGACCCTATCTCGAAAAACCCTTCACAAAAAAAAAAGGGGGGGGGGGGCCTGGTGGAGTAGCTCAAGGTGAAGGCCCTGAGTTCAAGCCCAAGTACCACAAAAAACAAAACAAAACATAACCTAGAGCTCATGTCTGTGCCCCAAAGATGAACTGAAGTGGAGTTTGGGACTGGGGCCTAATTCTCCAGTTTTAGGTGTGACTCACAGTCTTTCATGGCATTTGGACCTCGTGGAGAACAAAAGGCCAAAAATATGGAAGAATGTTCCCTGAGGCCTGAGTAGTGTTGGACCCAAGAATGAATGTTTAGAACTAGAGATAGTGATGTGATCAGATCCACACACATATTCTCTAATGTGTGTGTATGGGGGTGGAGGGGGAGAGAGAGAGAGATTGTGTGTGGGGTCCCTGACATCAGGGGCCCTCTTCTCTCACTCAAGTCTGAGGACAGTATAAAAAGGAATTCCCTGGATGGTTGACTGATCGCTCAGTCATTAGGTATTTGCACTATACACAAACACTAGTGCTTAGCCTCCAAAGAATCTTCTGGGCTGAATGGGGCCTTAGAAGGCAATGCTGAGCCATGGAGATGTACAAGCCCTCTTGCCTGTGTGTTCCCTTCTGCCCACCACACATCAGAATGGGGCTCAGCATTCCTCACTATGACTCTGCACTAGATGTGCTTTTGCTAAGGAGCAGTATAGCTCCTTGATAAGAAAATGCATACTTGCAATCAAGTACTTCAGTTCTTAATTTCCTGACCAATAGCAGGGTTTTAGCAATGTACTTTGACTAGTAACTTCATAACAAATACATCAAAATGAAAGAGAACCAGTGGGAATGAAGGATAAAATCATGTTTGGCAGAAAGTGGCCAATACCTTTTTTTCAAGTCAGGAAAAAATTCACCACAACAAACCACACTCATAAATACCTACTAACAGCCTTCTAAAATAAAGGTACCATTTATAGGCACATTACAGCAGGCTGAGCCCTCAAGTAAAAACTGGAGTAAGTATAGAATTCTTATTACAGACAAGAAAATGGAGGCACAGAGAGGCTATGTGGCTTGCACAAGGTCACATGGCTACTGAGCTGCAGGGACAGTATTCTCAGCTAGGATTATCTGTGTGCAGATGCTGAACTTGCCATTGCCATGGCCCATCTTTGCTCCCTTATCCCCTCCCCCATACAAATAAACCAGATCACTGACATTAGCAAAGAAAAATCCAGTGGGACTTCTAGCTGACCACCTTTCTCTTGCTCACTCTTCAGCTTCACCCAAAAATACATAGTATGTCTTATGAACTCCATGTAGACAGCTAATAAGCATGTGTAAAAGGCTAGGTTGTAAGACATCATAAAGCAA